TGTGTGTGCGCGTGTGTGTGTGTGTGTGTGTGTGTGTGTGTGTGTGTGTGTGTGTGTGTGTGTGTGTGTGTGTGCGTGTGAGAGAGAGAGAGGCGCTAATGCACCTAGGTGTGATTAACACCCGAGCACATGGTCTGATGGTGCTAGCCATACTGCTCAGCGCTACGCTAGCCTCAGCATGCGCGATAGTAACTAGTGCGTGGATGTGTGTGTGTGTGTGTGTGTGTGTGTGTGTGTGTTTGTGTGTGTGCGAGCGTGTGTGAGTCAGCTGAACGATAACGTCCTTGAACGCATCGTCCAAACTTGAAAGTCGCGGGAAGCCTCATTAATGAAAATCAATCAGTTCAAAGTGACTTTAACAAATGCACGACTAGGTCATATCATCTCTCTTGTCTTCATTTTTACATGTGTGTAGATACAGAGGCTGTCATTTTTTTGCCCAAATAAGCTGCTGTTTCCCGCAAAATGAAATTGATTTCACGTTTAATGAAACCGCAAGACAAAATGTGAGCTTCAAACCAAAATGGCCGACTTCCCGCACCTGTATCATCCGTCACGTCTCTTTTCAAGCATGGCTTCCTGAGACTTTTTTGTGGGTCCACTCATGATGGACATGTCTTGAAACATCTTGTTGCTTCATGAAACAGAGTTTGAAAAAATTCCTTCGATTGAGTTTGTACTTTGAAGACTCTCGGGTAATAACCCTAAAAGGTGCACTTCAAACCATAAAGGCTGACTTCATTTTTAGACATGGCTTCCTTTTTTTTGTGGTTCTCCTTGTGATTGACATGCACCTAATTTCATGTTGATAAGGGGAACCTGATTTCGGAACTGAATTATCAAAAATTCCTGTGAAGCGTTTGTCATTGAAGGACAACCGACCTTGAAACAACCAAAACGACTCAAAAAATGGTAAAATTCCTGCGTTGTCCTAGTCAGGGCTTCTTGAGGATTTTTTGAACCTCTGGATGAGCCCTTGGGTTTTCAAAAGCTCTCTTGGTGCTGGTGTTTTTGAAAATGGCCAAAAATTGACCCCAGATGGCCGACTTCCTTTGTATTTTCAGGCATGGATTCTCCTTTTTTGTGGGTCTACTCATGAAAGTCATGTCTACTTAATTTCATGCTGCCAAATGAGACTGGGTCAAGTGGCTGAATGTGACAAAAATTTCAAGGAGGAGATTGTGCTTGAAAGAGGAATGGAAAATTCAAAATGGCGGCTTCTTTCAAAAGCTCTCTTGGTGCTGGTGTTTTTGAAAATGGCCAAAAATTGACCCCAGATGGCCGACTTCCTTTGTATTTTCAGGCATGGATTCTCCTTTTTTGTGGGTCTACTCATGAAAGTCATGTCTACTTAATTTCATGCTGCCAAATGAGACTGGGTCGAGTGGCTGAATGTGACAAAAATTTCGAGTAGGAGATTGGAAATGGAAAATTTAAAATGGCCAAAATGAACCCAAAATGGTGGCTTAGAAACAAAACGGCAGCCGTCCCGTGTCTTTTCTTGGATGACTTCTTAAGACTGTTTTGTTGGCCTACTCACTATTGACAATGTCTACTAAGCCTTATTTTGTTGAGTAAAACAGGCCGAGAGGTCGAAATTTTCAAAGTCTCATTCAAAGAGTTTGTACTTAACAGACTCACATTTGCATTTACTTTTTTTTTTTTTTTTTGTGGTTCTACTCATGATAATTTTACCATACTTGCTAAGTAAAACTGGCAAAAAAAACCACAACGGGAAAGTCCCCGCGCCTCCATGTTCCTTTCATGTAATTGGTGAACTAATATATTTTTAACACAAAGATGTTAAAAGAGGACGTTTTAGAGGACGATCCGTGGCCTTGATGACTCTTTTTTTTTTTTTCTCTCTCTTCGCAGAGTATTCCGAGAGAAATCATTTGACGCGAGCGGGCCGCTCTAAAAGGGCGCTTGTCACTCGGCGTCCTTGTCAGCGACGTGTCAGAGTGTAATTAGCAGGCCGGCGACGGACGAGCGTCATTTCACTTTGAGACCAAAACTGGCTCAGGAAGGGAGGGGGTGGGGGGGAGGGGGGTGCGGCAAGGAACTTTAAATATATTTCAATAAAAAGGAAAAAAATAAATAAATAAAGAAATAGTCGTTTGCTTAAGAAAGCGCAGCAGTCATGAACTCCCCGAGTGCTGAACGACACACGCGCGTGTGCGTTTAAAGACTGTTTAATCACACGTCCGCTGAGAGTGGATCGACTGAACACACAAAACGAAAGCACTCGCGGGCATTCCAAGCCTACAATAGCCATGTAAAATCTCAATGGCTAAAATAATCGGATCAGGATCGGAAATAATCCAAACATGTGATGGCACGAGGGAACATGTGAAAATCCAGATTCGATTTACATCGCTGCCCAATTTTTTGTGATGAATGACACTGCCGAGATGGATCGCTTCAGCTGCGATTCCCACACCGGAAGTGGTGACGCAGACAAATAGCGTAAAAACAGGAAGTCATTTGTTCACTGTGTAAATGTTTGTAACTTAACGGTGTTCTTCGTGGTTATCTTAATATTTGTTCTTTTTGTAATTCAGTAAAAAAATAACATCTTCCTCACTCCAACCCTCGACTCTGCTGTAGGTCGATATGGTTCAGAGTAGAGGGAGCAAAAAAAAAAAAACCATCAGAGAAAATGTGTCTTTGATGTTGCCCGTGCTATTTCCTTGAGTGAATCAACGTTTATTGATGGCGTGTCAAGTCCCTCGCGGACTCAAGTGGACCCTCGGGCCCCCCCGCCGCCTATGTGTCTTCACTGTACGGAAAGGACTCGGCAAATAAAATAAAGCCCAAGAAATTCAACGTGACACGTTCAGCCTGCGTGCGCGCATGTGTGTGCGTGGGGTGCGAAAATAGCGCAAAGTAGGAGGACAGGCGGCAGATGTTAAATCAGCACGACGACCTCGGCATTGATTTGGACACGCGTCTTCTGCTGTGCGTTGACGTGACGACAACCCGCCCGACGGCCGCGCTGCAACGATTGTCGTGCGAGTGTCAGATTGCTGACCAGCTTCATGCATTTTGATGCCATCTTTGCTCTTCTTCCTGCCGCCCGCTCGCAGCAAACATTGCGGGTGACATCTCTCTCTCTCTCACACACACACACACACACACACACACACACACACACACACACACACACACACACACACACACACACACACACACAGAGGAAACTACTGCTTTGACTTTCAATTGAAAAAGTTTGATGTCTCTTTTTGACTGAAATGGGAAACACCCCTCATTTTACGATGAAATAAAAATAGCAGGAGTGGCATGGTGGACGACTGGTTCACACGTCCGCCTCACAGTGCAGAGGTCATGGGTACGATTCCGGCTGCGGCCTCCCTGTATAAAGTTTGCATGTTCTCCCCCGTGCCTGCGTGGGTTTTCTGCGGGTACTCCAATTTCCTCCCATTTTCCAAAAACATGCATGTTTGGTTCATTGAACCCTCGAAATTGTCTTTCGGTGTGATTGTTTGTCTGTGCGTGCCCTGCGATTGGCTGGCAACAGGTTCAGGGTGTCCACCGCCTACTGCCCGAAGACGGCTGGGATGGGCCCCAGTACGCCCGCGACCCTCGTGAGGATAAAGCGCATTATGGATGGCTGGAAATAGCTGCCACCTCTCCTGACCATGAAAAGTGGGGCAAAAGCCTATTTTTGGTGACTGAAAACAAAAATGCCCACTCCTTTTTGATTATCAATTCACAAAATAAATCAGGTGTTTTTTTTTTTTTAACTTTCAACAGACAGAAAACGAGAGAATTCTTTTTCGATCAGTAGAAAGTCAGCTATTGTTTAACTTCTTTTGCCTCTGCTTTTTTGTCTTTCAGTTGTAAGAAAAAAAAAATCTTTCAAAAAATTCTTTCAATGGAATAAAATCTCCTTTTTTGACCATCGATTAAAAAGATTAACTTTTTTTGTTACATTCAATTAAAAAAAAAAAAATAATCGTCATTTTTTTTTTTTAAAACAAAAAAGACTAGGTGTGTTTTACTTTTAATTGGGCGGGGGGGAAAAAAGGTCCCTTTGTTTTTTTCTTTCTCAGGGCATTGAATCGTTTGAAACTTTTCTGGTAGTCCTACAAGACGTTTGGCCTCTCATCTGTGCAGGCGACATCAGTTCACGAACAAGGATCGGTTCGGATTGTGCCAGCCTTGTCTATCAAGGGGAAAAAAACAAACAAACCAACAAAACAAAAATCCCATTTAGAGCCATTTCATCTTATTTTGTTTTATTTGTGAAGAAGGAGCACTGAGTAAATCCAGATTGCGACATTAGCTTCTTCGCATTCGCGAGCTAGCCGCCGACTGTCGATCTGTGAATGCCTGTCACTCCATCTCCGAAAACGTCAAATGTTTTGGGCGAGCGTGTGCTTCGCAACCCACGCGGCACGACCGGCCAATCAAACGATGTCATCGGCGAGACGGGAAGTGAAATATTGCCACCCTGCTTAATGACATCACACTGGATTCCGCTTCTCATTTAAAGGCAAAGCACGAGTGAGACGAATGGATGGACACGACGCCCCGGCGCGCCTTGTCGCGACCCGTTGCCTCGACTCGGTGGCTGAATGATCGGAAGCTGTGACTGGCTCCCTCCGGCATCAGAGAAATGTTCTCACAGTAGCGCCTCCTCCTCTTCCTCCTCCTCCTCGTCAATGTGGACTCCATGGCGAAACAAGTCAGCCAGTAAAAAGTCCAATAAAAGTAATAAACGTGAGTGTTGGTTGGCTCGCCGCATGCGTGCGCGCGATCATCACTCAGCACGCGGCTAATGAAAGCGGAGGCCACGGAGATGATCTGCAAATGAGCCAATCAGTCAGCTGGGAAGAAAAGTGAGAATTAATTAGAAGCGATGATGATGATGATGATGATCATGAAGATCAATCAGTCCAAAAAAGTTTCAGCGTTTACTTCTTAAAGTTGATGGGGTCAGCACCATGAAATTTGGTGTGTGTGTGGATCACGAGTTGACCCACAAAAACATTTAAAAAAAAAACTCAAGAAACCACCCCCAAAAAGAGACTGAAGCTCTGTTTGAATTGCCAATTTTGGGCTGTTCCGGTGGTCCGTCAAAAAAAAGTTTTGAAAACTCAGCCTCCAAATCCAGTTTCATGTTCGAACTGAAAATTTGGTAGACATGTCTATCATGAGTGGGCCCACAAAAAAAAAACATCTCAAGAACCTTCCACAAAAAGACACCGAAATTTGCAGAATTTTGCTTTGCCTTTGTTATTTTTAGCTTACTTTGGCCTGTTCCAGTGGTCCTTCAAACAAATTCATTCTTGAGAATTGTTGAAAATTCACACCCCAAACCCAGCATCTGTGAACTGAAAAAATGGCAGACTTGTCCATCATGAATAGACCCGCAAAAAGTCTCAAGGGTCCATGACTAAAAAAATTCAGCCCTCGAAGTGACTTAAATGGAATTTGTTCGACGAGTCTATCATGAGTAGACCCACAAAAAAAAATCACTCATTTTTGGCTGATTGTGACCATTTCCAGGGGTCCTTAAACGACAAACTCCTCCAAGAGCATTTGAAAGTCTCCCCCGTGCAGCCAGTTTTCCATAGTAACAAGATTTTGGTCAACATGTCTGTCATGAGCAGAGCCCCCCCAAAAGTCTCAATTTTGGTCGGCATGTCTATTTCGAGTTAAAAACGCCATGCCCAAAAAGACACAAAAAGTCGGCCATTTTGACTCAAAGTGAGCATCTTGGGCTCATTTTTGCCATTCCCAATCATGCTTCACTTTTTGAAAACTCAGCCACCGAAGCTCGTTTGACTTTGCAACGTGAAATGAAAAGTTGCCCAAAAAAAACAAAAAAAAAAACAAAAAAGCTCACAAGGCCAAAAGTTGTGGAAAGTCTGCCATTTTTTTTTTCTGTTCAAACATTTCCGAGGGTCCTTCAAATTTGATGCACATGATAGCAAAACTGCCCTCCCGCTTCCTCTTCCCGCTCGCTTCGCCCTCGTTGCCCCGCCAATCATTTTCATCATCATCAATTTGTGATGAAGAAGCCACGTCCTTGTCAGCTGCGCGCAGCCGCCTCCTGCTTTCTGACATTTCGAATAGCTGCAGTATCTATTACGTAGGCTCAACGTCGCTTCCATCCGACCGGAACCTCCGACGTGGCGATTTAGTAAATTTCATATTTAAAAAAAAAATTAATATATAAAGTCGATATTATTGGTCAGTCCAGATGTGTGCGCGCTATTTCCTTTTATGATATGTGATTATTTTTGTCTTTATTATTTAATTTATTTACAAATTATTGATCAATCTATAGGTGAGCCACAGTGGAGATTAAGTCTGCACACCCCTGTTGAAATGGCAGGTTTTGTGAGACCAATCATTAAAAAAAACAAACAAAAAAAAACGTTAATGTGACTGACTCAAATCAAAGAAAAAAAACAAAAAAACCAACAACATCTTCGAGCAATGAAGCAGTTTTGCATCCTTCGCATGAAATGTTCTCTCGATATATTCGGCGCGCGTTTGTTATCGTCAATTTTCAATTCCAGCACAAAGGAGAGAAAAAAAAAAAGAAGAAAAGCAGTGTAGTGGCGCATTAATTGGAAAGTCTAATTGTGGCGATGGCATCTCGCTAATTGAATTAGCAGCGAGAGGAGACCAAAAAAAAAAAAACATGGATGTTAGCTGGTGACATTGAGAGAAGAAAACGAGCAGCACTTTGAGATGTGTTGAGAAATCTGGCGTGCATTAGAAGTAACATCTATTACTTTATTATTATCATTATTACAGGAGTGTAAAGTTAGCGAGTTCACATACAAACCGTATGAATGCACTGCACTGGATCTATTGCCTGAAAACAACAAATAATGACATTTACCATCAGGAGCAGCCCCCCCCCCTCACACACACACACACACACACACACGCACGCACGCACGCACGCACAGCAGCTGACGCCAAACATTTGTTGACTCGGAAAGCGGAGCCACATGCTGCTTCACCAGGTTTAGAGGGGAATCTTACAGTGGAATGTAAGGGAACGGGTTATGTTGTGGCAGTAAACAAGTGACTAACTGACAGTGATCTGGTTCACCAACTAACTAAATAACTGATTGGAAAAATAGAGCGTGTCGAAACATGACACAATGTTGAGGCAAAACAAAGACACCACGAATAATATGAAAACCCCCATTTGCATACCAGTTACTGTGCGAAAACAAACAAACAAAACAAAACAAAAAAAAAACGGGATCCAGGGGAGCAAGACGAGGACGAAATGAGGAAGCATTTGCAAGACGAATAAAACAAGTTATGGAATAAAGAGAGAGAGGAAAAAAAAAATGCGTATTAAAGAAGCAACTCCAGAGACGTTGACTTGTGGTTTGCGGCGTTGACAATCACAAATGCACTTCTTCTTAATAGCAATTGCCAATTTGCCTCACGGGCTGTTCGGTCCAACTGGCTATTAGCGCCAATAAGGTAAACAGTGTGCACAAGCGCCCGGATGACTCGACAAATTGCCTCTTTTATCACCAAAATTGGGTGCCGAGAACGCAAATTCACTCACACGCGCACACGTTCTCACTCCCTGCGGCGAGCGCTATGAAAACACATCCTGCCGTGAATGGCAATCAACTCATCCAGCTTTTTTTTTTTTTTTTTTTTGTCCTTTAAAGATTCGCAAAAGATGACACGCAAAATAAGTCAAAGGTTAAAGCTGATATTGAGGCTGCTTCGCCAATGGGATTTTCTTTTTTTTGGGGGGGTGGGGTGGTATTGTCCAGGGCGGCCCGGGCCTGCGTGAGTTTTCTCCGGGTCCTCTGGTTTCCTCCCACATTTCGAAAACGTGCCTGGCAGGCTGATTGAACACTCGAAATTGTCCCTAGGTGTGAGCGTGAGCGCAAATGGTTGTTCATTTCTGTGTGCCCTGCGAATGGCAGGCAACCGGTTCAGGGTGTCCCCCGCCTACTGCCCGAAGACGACTGAGATAGACTCCGGCACCCCCCGCGACCCTTGTGAGGATAAAGCGGATCAGAAAATGGATGAATGGTATTGTCCAGATTTGGTGCAAAGTCAGGCCAGGATAGACTCGGTCGCGAAAGCGCCATCTGGTGGAGCTGGTGGGCACTGCAGCATTTAGGTCCAATCTGGATTCATTCCACTTTGTGTGACTTATACGTCTGTCTCTAAACAAAGACAAAAATGTTCTCTTCTTCTCATCCTCGGATACGTGTGTGTGTATGTGTGTGTGTGTGTGTGTGTGTGTGTGTGTGCGCGTGCGTGTTTGTGTTATGATTCATTGTTGGGCAGCACAGATTGCCAAACAAGGGATTGAAAAATGAAACGTTCCCACCAGCAGGCGACGATTGATTAACCCCCAAACTTTTTTTCTTTTTGTCCTCTTCTCTTTTCTTTTTCCATTTCCGCCCTCCGTCTTTCTCCTCGTGGTCTTCATCCACTCCAATCACGTGATGCTGCACTTTCATCTCTTCTGTCTCCTCTCATTAAAGATTACATTTTTATATTGAATTTATTACTCATTAACATATTTACAGTTCATCAAAAAAAAATATTGTATAATGTCACGATATGTGTAAATAGAATACAGGAAAGCAGGACTTGAACGAACGCCACAGCGAAGTGGAAGAATACGCGTCGACTGATGATTTCATTGTTTAATTGTTGTATTATTTCGTCTCCTAATGATAAGTTTGACTCTTGTTTTAATTTCAACCAAAAAAATGACAAGTGTGTTCATTACATACAAAGCTCCCCCACCCTCCCTTTCTTGTTTTGTGTTAGCTTTGCTCCTTAGCATGACGGCACACAGCCACTCTTGCACGCGCACACACAAAAACAGAGGAGGAGACATTGCATAGGGCAGACGCAGAATGCGTTATACAAAGTCTTCTATTGTGCTCCACTTATTCGTAAGGGTGCAAAATAAGTATGGGAAATGAGCCGCATGCTGCTTCACCAATGACATAAATATAGCTTGGAGCTCCTCTCCACTGGTAAATTTCCACAGCACAACTATTACTACTACTTACTACTTTTTTTGTTTGTTTTTTGTGGAATAATGACACCGTAATGCTGCTATGAATTTCAAAGGCGCAGACTCCATTTTGAACTAAATTAATAACTTCGAATACCTCAGAGCACTTTATGGAGTAAATAATTCACCGTAATAGTATGACTGTCCATTACAATGCACAATGACAGTCTATATTCATTTGGGAATGTTGTTCATTATCCCCCCCCAAAAAAATGAAAACCACTCGATGTCGCATTATCATCGGTGTCATCGTAAAAACATCAAAACCAGGACGAGGCCATCAGAATTGAATCACAACCAAATTTTAAGAAGCCTTCAATGGAAGTTTGGTGTCGAGATGAAATCATAATGAGGAAAATAAGTACACAGCGTCTGCGTAAATAAATCAGCTCGCCCGAGTCGGAGAAAAGTAACTTTTCCGATGCGTCACGCTGTGCCTGACGTTTCATGCGCGCCATTAACTTCGCCGCTCGACACGCTCGCAGCGGGAATTCTTCAAATAAATAAATGAACGCGCGCGCATGAACGCCAAACTAAAGACGCAGGTACGGACTTTTCTCTTTCCTGCCGGGGCGCAGCTTTCAATTGCATCCCAACGTCCAGCAGGGACCGCGCGCGGGCGGGTTGGAGATGTGGCTGAGCGGCTGTGTCGAGGCTTTGCTGAGTCAGCAGAAGAAGAATTAAGATCT